GTGTCGGATGCGTTCACACAGGCTTAGGTACGGAGATCCACGTTGTGTTGTTGGTTGGTATCTCGGATCTGGGGTCGGCTCCACCGTCTGACACGAAGACCATATGTACTAACTGTAGCCGACTACGGCGTGAGAAGATCCATCGTCCGACCTCAGGCCTGCCATCCGCACTTGGTGGTCGTTGCTGGAAGACCGAGACCCTGGCTGTGGTTTACCACAGACACCGAGCGATCCATCGATCGTTGTATGGTCCGTCCCGGCGTCTTGTCGCGCCTGTGCAGGCTGGAGCTGGTACAGTGCCGGGCGACATGTTCATCGATCCGCCGCAACGCGCTGCACTGTTCCGAACTCAAGCAGATCTACTTCTCCGACCTCGATCTCGATCGCGATCACGACAGCGTCGTGGGAAGATCGACAACAGCTGTCTTCGACCCGTGTTGGACACGAGCTACGGTACGCGCACGTACATACAGGAGTACTGTATAGACGAGGACTAGCAAAGGGTTCTGGACCCTACATCAAACCTGTCTGGTCCGCAACACTACGTACATGTACATAGCTCGTCGACCCTCGATGAGCATCGAGAGTTAGGCAGTCCAACTTCTGTTCGACGAAAGGGTGCGGAAGCAAGAGAAAGAGCTTTTCCCCCTGGCGGCTCTTGCCTCGAGGTCCGGATCCATGCAGTTGGGTTGGCGTGGCGGGTCGGTACGGTACCTGTGGCCCAGGGGCGTTTGATTGGTCGTAACGCCCTTCTCAAATTCGGCTCGGTAGCCGAACATCGGGCCGAAGAGCACGAGGAGGCTTACAGTATGCGCCCGCCATCCTCGTCCAGCCCAGTCCTATGTTGTTCACTCACGTTATCGCACGCGTACAAGTGGGAACTCCAGGTCAGTAAGCGTATGAGAGCAATCGGGTCCCATCAAGCGCAGCGCCGTCGAGCTAAGGAAGCCTAAGTACATATATCGCGCTCGAGCGCAGACGCTTTGCGAGCTATACCGTTCCACGGTCAAACGCCAAGGCAAGGCATAGCATAGCGCGGTTGTTTGGCGGCTCGGTCATGAATGGCGCCCCGAAGCCATCGATGCGTGTGCGCGTCTGCATGGGAAGTTGCACCCGAAGACGGGCTCGGGGGCCACGCTCGACCGATGCCGCGTCCGTCTCTGTCTCGTCGTCGTGTGCACAGCGCACACGCACTAGAGGGGGACGAGCAGAGTGGTACCTACGCCACGCTCCTTCTTCCTTCTTCGAAGATGCGGGCGGGCATCGGTCGGAGATGGACATCACGAGCACGCGCGCACGCGCGCACGCCACAGTCTCCCATGCGCGCGCGCGGTGTCTGCTGTTGGCGTTAGCCACGCCCAGCCTACCAAACATCCCCTTGCCGTGGCGCGGATGCAGTCGCAGCCGGTGGCGCACCCTGCATCGGTCGGAACCTATGCTGCCGTATCCAGAATAAGATCATCCAAGCTGACCCCGAGATGACCTGAGGCATTGGAAGCGAGGGCTTGACTACGCTCTGGGATCGATAGACTCGGCGTTCGGGAGCAAGAGGTTCGTGTCAGTGTCAGACACCTCACTTCTTGTGCTGCGTACACAAGTACCCTGAGCGTCGGAGGTGCGCATGAGCATGACTGCTGGTGAACCTGTGTGCCGTTCCTGGTACAGTAGAAACCGTCAGGTAAGCGCATCAAACCCTGCCTAAGCCCTCCAACCAGCGTCGAGAGCGGTAGAGCGAGACAGGTCAAGAAAAGACTACTCTCGGATCGGACAGAAGAGTCACGAGTGCATAGAGTAGTCGGTACCGCTGGAAGATGGCCTCACATGGACAAGGAACGAAGTGTGATGTCGACCTAGTGCGGCGCTTAGCTCATGGCAAGCCGAATGAAAGATGAGCTACGCCCGACTTTGCTCGCCTTGGCGGTCGACCAGGACGAGAGATCAGGCAAGGCGGGGCGGCAAGGCAGCTCGTACAGACAGAATGTCCTCGACTGCGACCCATTCACAGGGGCCCACGCCCGGCCATGGCCGAGGCGTCGACAACGAAGGCAATCCGGCAAAGATAAAGTGAGCAGTCTAGGGTCGCGCTGCCGCAACCGCTGATGGCGATGCAAATCCTCGCCGTCGTCGTTGTCATCCCCGCTCGACGAGATTGCTTTTTGGATCCAGGAAAATGTGGTTTTGCCGCTCTACCAGCTGGGCCACCCGATTGGCTTGCAACGGCCTTCTTGGGGGATCTGTGCCTCGAAGATTAAGGCGCTGGATGTGCTTGGTCGTATGCCGGTGCCTTGTTACAGTAAGTACAGTAGCAAGAGTCCGTCCATCGGGCCGGGAAAGACGTCGTCTTGGCTTGCAGGCCCGCGGAGCTGCCGGTGTCGCAACCCGCCCCGCGGCGGCCCTCGCTGCGGCCGACCTCACGAGCTGGCCCCCTTTTCCTCCCTTCCGCTCCATTCGGCATGGTATCGAACAGCACGCGTCGAGCTGCTAATCTCAATCTATAGCCCTCGTGGCCATCAAAAAGCCTTGGCAGCCAGCAGTGCGGCGATGCCAACGCGACGACGACAGCGACGGCGGCGACGGCCAAGGAACGGATGCCGGTTCATGCATCACGGGCGCACGGAAGCCACCGAGCACGCACAAACGCACGCCTTGCTTGCCTGCTTATCAAGTCGAGCGAGCAAGCAAGCAAAGAAAGCAAGCGAGCAAGCCGACTGCTGTCCTGCGTATCAGATCTAATCGGCGATCGAGACAAAGGTGTCCTTCTCATGGCCCTGCATCGAAGAGCAGGGGCGACGGGCGGCACCCTCGCGCGCTGGACCGCCAAAGGACGCACGCACGCATCTTCGCACACACGGCAATCTTTGTTCGATGTGGCACGTCCATCGGTCGCACGGGCGCCGTCCATGGTGCGAATCTTCGAAGCCATGGATGCGGGCTTATTGCCGTCGGGCCCATGGAGCAGCGTGTCCCTCCAGCTGCGTGATCACAGTGAAGCGACGGGGATTGAGGCGCTTCCCACGCTAGCTCTGGGATATCGATGGTTCGCGCCTGTGTCTGACTCTGGTGCGACTAAGGGCGAACCAGGGACCCGGTTACACCTTCTCTCCTGTCCCCCGCCGTCATGGAGGTGCTTAGAGCTCAAGCTCGACCTACCGTGTGTGCACATTGGGTACACTTGCAACGCAGGTCCGACGCCCAAAGCCAGGCACCGAGGCTACCGGTATGGTCTGCGCGCGGCCAACAGCGTTTTACGGGAGTGATGGCTGAGCCTTCTCGATGGGGGGTTATCGAAATCACCGGTCCAACGGAGAGGCTGGACCGCATCGCGGCGCGACGCTGCGATGTGGGACTTGATCTAGGCTCGCTTCCTCTTCCATACCGTCCCATGGGATCCACCCCTTCTCGCCCGCCATCTCGGCCCGGCGCTCATGACGAGCTTGCGGAGCGATGTTCGAAGCGAACGAGGTTCTGAAGCATCCGAGCTATAGCAACCACAACAAGAAGCTAAGGCGCAGCAGGAGGATGCGGTTCTTCGGGCCGGCAAACAATAAGACTCAAGGCCCATACAGACGAAGGACAATGGGGCACCGTCGACGCCACCATCGCAGCCAGCACCGGCGGCCGTGCTGCCAGCACAATTAGCCTAAACTTGCAAGGTAGTCTGTTCGTATGTACCGCGGCCGTGGACGTAGCGAAACGAGAGCGCGAACATCTTGAACTCACGAGGCGCTGATCAGCGGTTCACATGATATTGAGACTAACGCTGGGCATGCCCCGGAGCTAAAGCACGCTCTACGTATGTGGGTTCGGCAGATTCAATGGGCCCGGTCTTGCTCTTGCTCTCAAAGCAAACGCCGCCCGCCACATTGCTCGCCAACGCCACCATACATGCTTCTCCTCTTGTGTCGACCCGCGTTGACGTTTCCTTTTCAGAACAAACTCAGGTTGATATGTATGGACCTCGCCAAGTCGGTGGGACAATGGTCTCAATCGCACTATACCGGCCCGTCTCGAGCTCAAAAATCGAGCTGCGGGAACGAGTGGGAGGGCTCGGTCGGCCTCTTCGGACGAGAAGGTCATCGTGGTCTCATGCTGGCTCGTCATCGACTCTCCTCTTGGGACACACCACGGAGCGAACCGCCTTGGAAGCCTGGTGCCGTTGAACCGCGGCGCAGGATTACAAGCTCGACCCAGCGTCTTGGGTCGGACCCGCAAGGTTGTTCCTAGGCTGAAGCCTTGACCGGCAAGCGGTCCAGCCTGTTTACCCCGACGCATCCCATTCACCGAAAGCAACCGTCAGACGGGCCATCTGCGCATGGAAGGAGATGCGTCGCGAGCACACCGTGAAGATGGCTTGGACAAACACCAACTCGCCGGTCAACTTGATCAGATGGCCTCGCGGTCGCTGGGCTAGGCACGCCACACCGGCTTCGACCCAGATCCACGAGCGAAGCCACGACGGCGTGCTGCCTGCGACCTGCGTCGCGTGCGACGTCAGGACCGACTCCGAACCCGAAACGTCCATTGATGTCGGCCAGACGGTCAGGAAATGTTGGGGCGGGAACCGAGTGGCTTTGTTCGATTGCTCCGAACCGGCCAAGCGCGGTCGTCAGGCAAGGAAGTCACGGCATGCCGTCGACCTCGCGGATGCAGCATGCTGCCCAATCAGGCCAGGCTTGTCTAGCTGACAGGCGCAGAATTGCTTGCACCGGGAAGAGCCGGCGATGGCAACCTGAGATCGAGCCCGGAGAGCGCTGCGGCAATGCCGCGACGGCTTGCCGCAGCAACCTCCTCGGACTGTGCACGGGGCATCCTTAGCTCACTGCGCAGCAACCGCCGTCCAGCCATCACTGTCCCGCCATCGCTTCTCGTTCTTGCTCTGGTATAGCGCAATCGACGATGACACTTGGGGACGGCTGAAGCGTCATCTAGAGTCCTCTGCCTAATCAGCTCGCCCACTTGGTCGCCTTACTAAACACTTGCGACCGGCAGGCAGGTGTGCCTCACAGCTGTCGGACGTAGGCTGTCGGTACGATGCCGGCCTCCTGACCGCCAGACTCCTTTCTCGCTCGCCACCAGTCGTCCGAGATCTTCTCCAGCAGCACGATGCGCTCGCCCTCAACGACGACGAGGTCGTCCGGATCCGATGCATCTCCGTAGCTGTGAGGTCGATCCAAGAGCAATCCATCCGGCCATCAGCGTCTTCGCCTCGTCATCATTCGCGCTGCAGATAAGGGGAGACCCCCGGACCAAGGTCGCAGGCGCGATACTCACTCGTACAGCGCCTCGGCATATCCGAGGCCGTCGACTTCGGGCGTTCCGCTGGCTTGTGGCGCTGCCGCGGGGGCCGGAGAGGCAGAGCCGGTCGACGCGCTTGGCATCACTGCGGGTCCAGTGCGAGCTGGCGGCGGCAGCCTCCCGGCTCCAGAGGCCGGCGACGCGGTCGTTGTAGGAATTCGTGGGGAACTTAACTTCCGTGGTGGCATCGCCGAACCAGGCGCCGTCTTGGGCCCGATGTTCAAGCCGCCAAAGGTCTGGGATCGTGCGCGGCCAGGTCGAGATCGAGAGCGGCAGGTCGGGGAAAGGACAGGCTTCAGCGCACGATCATTTGACCCTGTCGCACCATGATGACAGCCACTGCGAGGCCGCGGTACGATGCTCACCTTGCCGCTCACGAGCCCGGCGATGCCTTGAGGTTTCGTCGCAGAGCTGGGCGCTGCGGGCGGCGGACCCCGTCTTGCTGGCAGAGGCAGGGCGGCCGAGGACCCCGATGGGCTGACGCTGCCTTGGGTCGACTGGTGGTGGCCTGCCCATGCGCTAGCCGCGGCATTGCCGAGCGCCTTGTTGCCCATCATCCGGCCAGCTGCAAAGCCAGCCACCTTCTGGCCGACGGGCGTGGCCGCGAACCTGCCGGCGCGGTCCAGGTCGTCTCGGTTGACGGTGATGCTGCCAGCGCCACTGCCGTTGTTCGCGGCCGCGCTGAGGCCGGGGCTGCCGGCTACATGAGCCTGACCGCCGCCGGGTAGCAGGTGCGGCCTCGACTCGAAGTAGCCGTCGAGGAGCTGGAAGAAGGCCTCCTTTTCGTGGTCGGGCAATCCCGCCAGCATGGTCTCGCTCCAAAATTGAGGCTGTTCGAGGGCACTGTGGGCTTGAGCAGCGATCGATCGGCGTGGCCAGAGGTGTTTAAGGTCGCTGCCGCTCTCGTTTCTCCGGCGATGGTAGTACGGTTTGCGGTGGCTCGGCTGTCTGCCGACCCTGTCGGGAGTTCCGAAGCCAAGCGACCGATGGTGGATCCTGACCCAGTTGGCCTTGTGCGATGCGACGAGCAGAAGGCCGGAAGTCCCTTGTTCGATCTTGTCGGTAAGAGCCGGATGTTGGTGGTGGCGGAAAGGGGGGACATAGCGTTGGCACTTGGCAGCGATGGCTTGACGCCGGGCCGAGCAGCGGATGTGGGGGGCGAGGCGGCCTGAGCGCGCCGGGCGCCTTGGCCTCCTCCACCTCTTCTGGCACGACGCTCGGGCCGCCTGGTTGGAAGAAGCCACCTGAACGGCCCTCCCTGCTTCTCACCCTCGCCACGCCATGGGCGCCCTTGGCCTCATCACTCGATCTTCGCTCGGCCGTCCTCCGGCTTCCGCAGCTTATCGCATTGCCATGCCAAGTGGCGGCAGCCTGGTCATCGTCATTTCACTGCACCGGCTGGGCCGGCTATCCGACGTCTCGACGGAGCGAGTTCCGCCTCTGGTCTCAGCCCAAGTCGGCTTATCCGCAGCTGGCGTAGAGCCATCCGACCGACCGACCATGCTAGAGTATCGTGCAGGCTCTCGAGCCGGTCGGATGCCAAGCCGAGCCAGAGATGGCTGGACCGTGAGCCGCTGCTCGGACCTCAGGACCAGCAAGCAACGGCGCCTCCCAGGTACAAAAGGCGGTCGACCCTGCCGCTCGTCCACGTCCTTGAAGCGGGGTCCGCCGCCAACCTCCTCGCCTGCTCCTGTCATCGCCTTCACATCTTGTTCGCGTCTCCTTCGCCGCCAATCCCACTGCGATAGCTGCCGAACGACGTCGCCATGATCCTGAAGAGGCGCTTCGACGAGTTGCTGGCGGGTATCCCCGGCGATGAGGCGCGGGCGCAGAGCGAGTTTGCCTTTGCACAGCGACCGCCGCCCAAGGCGCAAAAGAGCTTCCAATTTGCCCCGCGGAGGCGCGAGGGGGGCGGCCAGTGTCAAGACTTCCTCAGCTCACCGTGGACATCGCCTGCCGATGGACCTACGCTTCAGGCTCGGGCGCCGCTAGCGCCGACAAGTCTTCCAGCTGGTCGACAGCAAGGCTCGCTACGTGTCACTCCGGGCGACGAGCGAGCAAAGGGCCAGGCTCCCCATCTGACCGTTAGGCTGGCCGACAGAGACCGACTCCAGCGTGAGCTGACACCTCCGCTTTCGTCCGGCGACACGAGGGCGTCTGGGCGGGCAGACGATGCTCCTATCGCGGGCGCGGCAGCCGTCGGTGCCAGGTCGCTTACGGTCGACGTCCCAGTTGCTCGCCAGGATCGCCAAGGCGTCGGCTCAACAGCTCCAGCTGTCGACTTTCGATTTTCGAGGACGCAGATGACCCCGGCTCCGGCGTTTACCTTTGATCTGCGCCGCGAACGAGCGCTGCCCGAGCCATGCCGACCTTCGATCCCGGCCGCCAGTCCCGGACCCGGGCGCGAAGACAGTCTGGGGATGGGGAAGGGCACGGCGCGGAAGGACATGGCGAAGTCCCCAACGGCCACCCTGATGTCGGCTCAGCGAGTGCCTGGCCAGGGGAAGGCTGTCCGCGCCCAGCACGTCCCGCATGCCTCGCTCGCGGTTCCCGAGCAGCCTGAAGTCGACCCTTCTCCGACCGTGCGTGCCGCCGAAGGGCCGATGCTGGACGACGCCAGGTCGTACGGAGAGAGAACTGGGACCTGCGCCAGCGCCAGCGCCCTCGACGAAGACGCCGGCCACGGGCACGACACCAGGGCAACCTCGTCGGCATACAAGACCGAGAGCCTCGCCGACCTCGAGGCCGGCTATCCCGACTCGCTCATCAACGGCCGAGATCCCTCGGAGCGCGGAGAACACCATTCGAGGGACGGTGGCGCCACAGAGAAGCAGCTCGAAGCTCTCAACACGATGCAGGAGATAATCGTCAAGCTTCGTCAAAAAGTGGGTGATCTTCGCCAGCGCGACCAGGACAATTGGCGAAGGGAGTCCGCGCAGCTGCGACACTGACACTTGGTCTCTTCCGGGCGACGCTATGCCCTTTCTCTGCTGATATAGGACGCCGAGCTGGAGCAGCTGAAGGCTCATAACGTCGCTCTGGCCAAGTCCGATGCGGCCCGGTCGAAGAAGCTGCGATCGCTGAAAGCGAGGGCTGAGGCGGCCGCCAAGCGGTAGGTGCCGCTCTGCCTACCAGCTTGGCCAGTCGCCTTTCTGACGCGGCTCTTGCACCTGCGCGCTGCCTGCCCATTGCGCCAGAGCCGACGACATAATGACGGACTGGAGAGAGCATCGCGAGCGCTACACTTCAGCTCTGGCTGTGGCTCGTCAGGAGCAGGTGGAGATCTCTGCACTGCGCAAAGAGATTCGCTCCTGCCTCGAAGGTAAGATGCCCCGCATGTCGGAGGTGTGGGCGCGGATCGAGCGACAGACGACGGGCACTGACGCCAGCATTTTCGCCTGGCCCTGTTGTGCACCGGGATGCTCGTCGGCCGCGCCTCGGACGGCAGGCGCTAGCATGCAGGGACATCTTCCGGACGTGGTCCAGCACATCAGGGATGAGCTGACGACATGCGCCAAAGTCTCAAACGAGCAGACCAGAGCAGGCAAGTCGCGCGCACCGTCCGAACCACGTACGGCGCTAGAGGCCGCCAGCATGATGACTGAGAGCGAAAGTCGTGCTTTTGTCCGTCGTACAGCGGTAGAGTCGGCCGATCTGCAAAGGCAACGGGCCGAGCAGGCCCTCTTTGACCTCGCCGGGGTGCGTTCCGTCAGCCCTTATGTACGGCGACCAGTATCCTGGCTCTGCTCACCCTCCTCACCTGCTCCAACTCGGCCCCTCGGCAGGAGAGGGACAGGTGCAAGGAGCTCAGGCAGGACTGGAAGGCGGCGAGTGAATCGTTGGCCGGAAAGGTTGCACTCATCGCCGAGCTGGAAGGACAGCGCAGCGACGCCAAGGCGACGCAACTCAGAGATGCAGAAGAGCTGCGATCCGCCAAGGAGCGGGTCAATTCGCTCAGCACCGAGCTGCACCAGGCCAGGCAGGCGTGAGTAGTTCTGACGACGTCCAAGTGGCTCGACGACGTTGCTAACGTACCGGTCGCTGGCTGCCGGCTGGAATCGCGACCTCAAACAGCCTCACCGAGGCCAAGGCGGCGGCCAGCGAAACGCAGCTGGCGATCACAGCAGCAGAGCAGCGAGCCGCCGAGCTCCAACACGGTCTCGATCTGTCGGAAGCTCGCGAACGGGCGAGCCAGGAAGCGTGAGTGCCACCGATGACTGCCACACCCGTCTTCCTGCGAAAGCTCACCCGCACAGCTGTGTGACCCGCAATCGACAGCCACGCGAGGATATACCAGGAGCTCGACGAGGCTCGATCCATCGTCGGTGCAAAGGAGGGCGAGCTCAACGAATTGCGTCTCAAGCTCGGGGAGGCGGCCAGATCAGAGCTCGAGAAGGAAAAGCTTCGCGGCGAACTCGATCAGCTGCGGTCGAGCAACTCCGCTCTCATCGCCGCGGCTGGAGAAGCGGCAGTCGACAAGGAGGCATTCGCTGTCCTCCGCGCAGAGCTGGAGCAGGCCCGACAGAAAATCGAACAGGTCGAGGAGGCAGCAAAGGTCGGAGAGAGAGCCATCGAGGCCCAACAGACGCTGCTGCCTCGGTACTTCAGCAAGAGACTGGTAGGTGAAAGGCACCGCAGCCCGTAACCGGCTTGGTTTTTGGAACAGCACGCTCACCTCATGAGGGCCTCTTCGACCCCGCCGCCGCCAGACTGACGAGGAAAATCGCATGGTCCGAGCCATCGCAGTGAGTTCAGCTTCTCAGCTCGAGGCTCGTCCTTTGCCTTGGCGGGTCTCTGATCCGCAGTCGGCCCTTGCCCTTCTCGCAGATGCATTGGAAGGCAAAATACGAGGAGCGGATGCTCAAGAGAGCCGAGATCATCCAAGAGGTGGGGCAGAGCGGGCTCACCGATTCTCAACGGCGCGCATCGCACACTGACCCTCAGTTGTCTTGCGTGCAGCTCGAGGCAAGCAAGCGGAAGCTCGAAGACGAGAACCAGAGTCTCAGAGAGGGCATCGTGAGTCAGCGACTCGACGAATGAGCGCCTCGCAACATCTTGACGATCGCAACGCCTGACGACACCGCCGTGCGCATCCGCCGGAGCAGGAGAGCATCGTCCAGCAGCTCAACGAGCGGGAGGCCAAGCCGCAAGACGAGGACGAAGCTGCAGCGGCCACCGAGCATGCCGCAAGCCACGCCCTTTATCAGCCTGGCCGGAGACGCCGTGGCATCCTCCTCGACAGCTATAGCCCAGTCGGCTCGCCCGTGCCGGACTCTGACGGCTCAGGGCTCGGCGAAGCGGCTCCTGCCCCCCGCCAGGGTAAGCATGTCGCCTCGGTCGTTTCTCAGCCTGGGTCGCCCTTCTTGGCTGATGTCGGTGCCACGTTCCTCTTTCCCAACAGCAACGACCACTGACACCACGGACGCGACAAGGGAGGTCGGTGAAGGTACCGGGGACGGCAATAGTGCTCGGCACGCCGAACTGAGCGAGGCTGACGCAGGCGGCGAGCAAGAGGTGCCAGAGCATCGGCCGACCACCACCGTCAATCAGTCCGGCGTGACTACGGGCGCTGCGGATCATGCTGCGCCATCCAGCACCGACGCCCCAGACGCCCCGAGCCAGGATCAGCAGGCGCAGTCGGCCAGACCGAGGGTGCGCAGGCGCGCCAAGAGAGCCGCCACGCGCCCGTCCGGACCGCAAGAGAACAGAGATGGTGGAGACGGGGAGGCAGGCGGCTCGGGCTCAGCGGCAGGTCCGGTGCGACGCCGATCGACCTCGGGCTATGACCTGAGGCCCTTCCGCCGCTGATCGCTCTTCAGGGGGCGCCGCTCGCAAGCACGGTCGGCGAGCTGAGACCATGGAGCTGGCAATTATGGCCCTCCCCTCGGACGTGAGTCGCCAGGCGCACAGCCGCCTAAAAGGCCATCGGTGCTTCGTTCCGGTTGATTGATTCATTGCAAGAGCGAGACCATGTTTTCATGGTTGGCCATCACCATCGGCGGTACGGCAGGAACTTTCCGTTGAGCGTGATCTTGACGCCTGCGGTACAGCGGAGGCACAGCCAGGAGCAAAAAAGAGGAGCATGCAGATACGGCCAAGGAGGGATGTTCGATCAGACGAGTGCGCGAGCGGCTCTTCTTTGCAGGCCCGCCCTGGGCGTCGACCGATGCGTCGGAACTCACGGTCGCCCTTTGGGTCCTCGATCTTGTCGACGTGTCCCTCGAAGTCGATTGCGCTCATGATGCCGTCGCCGAACTGTGTGAGGCGCAGGCGGTTGGTGGCGAGTCAGTGAGACGCCCTCCCAGTAATGCCGGCGGCGGGCAAGGAGCCCAGGTGCGCGGCTGTACCTTTTCGTGGATCATGTGCTTGAGCGGGTAGCCGTAGACGACGAGCACCTCGTAGAGGCGGTAGAGGACCGGGTCTGGGGACAGCGGGGCCGAGCGTGGGCGACGACAGGCAGACCGGCCGGCCGGCCGGCGGATGAGCAACGTGTCAGTGCGGTCGCCAACGAGACGGCCTTTGGCGGAGGGAGGGCGGTTGTGTGTGGGGAACGCCGGAGGGCAACGTACCTTGGGGCGGGAACTCTCCGAGCCCCCTGTGCGGGAAGAAGCCGTCGCCGAGGGCGTCTACGAGGTACTCTGTGCGTAGGTCGAGGGTGTTGCTGAGCTTTTCGAGGTCCTCGGGTGCGGGTTTGGCCTGGCCGTAGAAGATGGCGGCGACGTACCACTCGTCCCTGCCCATGGCCTGCGCGAGCTTTTCAAAGCTGAGGCCCGACTTGGCCTTTGCCTCGTGGAGCATCGAGTAGATGGGCGGGAGCGACGAGAGGATCTTGGGCTTCTGACCGACGGCCGAGGCCGACGAGGAGGACGCGGACGAGGACGATGCCATCCTGGTGGTGGTGGTGGCGGTGGTGGTGGTGGTGGGAGCGATGGCTGGGGCGAGGCAGAGTAGAGGCGATGAGGATGCGATGACGACTGGACGGAAGAGGGCGGTGCGGACGAGGGGAAGGAGGATGCTGGAAGAACGCTGCAGCATGACTAGGTGGGCACGGCAGCTAGAGGAGGATAGAGGGAGGGGGCGGTTGAGAGGGCGCCAGGGAGCCGTACGTGGTCTTTATACCTTGATACCCCTCTCGCTCTCGACGGGAGGGCGCCGCAGGTCGACTGCCAGGCAAGGCAGGCAGCAAGCACGCGCGCTGCTCCTTGGATCCAGTTCCCCAACGGGCGAAGCGATGGGAGCGCGGCCAGACGAGCCAAGCCAGCAAGACCCCCTACGTACCGGCTGAACCATGCGTGAGTGTGTGGTTGCGTATTGGTCTCTGCTCGATCCAGCGCGAGGCGAGCTTAACCCCGCAACGCTAGGGGCGCGCGATGCTCGCTCGTCGGGGATCGGTAGGGCGTTGCCACGGTTGGGAGCAGCACTCCCTGCCTGCCTGCCTGCCTGTTACTCCGGACGGACGAGCGGGCGGGCGGGCCGATGGCCAGCAGCCACCATATCCATATGGAGTCAGCGAGCATCGAGGCAAGGCAGCAGACAAGCAGTCAGGCCAGGCCAGGGTCCTCCGCCCCGCTAAAGTCGCCGAACAAAGATAAGGCACGCGAGGCGAAGCGAGGCGAGGCGAGGCGAGGCGAGGGCCGGCCTTGCTTGTCGCTTGCCGGGCCTGCCAGGCGGCGGCGAGATAAGGCAAGAGATCCTCGGCCCGATTGAGCAAGCAGGCAATCGGGGCCTCATCGCTGCCACCACCTCGTGCAGACGATCAAGACACGACGGATTGCCAGCACGAACAAGGCATCAGGGCAAAGGTATCTGCTAGATCGCCATTCACGCGGCTGCGGACATACAGACGATCGAAACGGCAATCGACATCACGAGACAGAGAAGGTGGGGGGGGGGGGGGGGGGGGCG